GAAAGATTGCAGTTCTCCTGCAAGTTTCTGATGTTTAGCTTTGACTCAGAGGCAAATCACACATTCTAACACGCATTGGCAAACGTCATTTTGAAGTGCACTCTACAGACTTGAAAGAATCATTCAGAACCAAACAACTTTTTTACTGAAAGGTAAATAAACTTAAATTATAAATTTCAAGCAACCAACAAGTAATTTAATGATATAATATAATATATTATATTACAATTAATATATTATAAAACTATAACTGTGTAATACACTATAATAGATAATAATATTAGAATTATTAAATTATATTAATATTAAAATAATTATAATATTATTATAATATCATATTATATGATAAAATAATAATATTAGTGTTATTAATATAATTATGATATTATTTGTTACAATATTATTATTATATTATATTATATTATATTATATTATATTATATTAAGAGTTTGAATTTTAAATTGGGAAGATTGTAAATTTTAAATTTCATTAGCGATATAATGAGTATTATGAAAGTTTCATTATGTGTACTATGCTAATTCTCGTACAATCTAAAAGTTAAAGTTACATTTGGACTGCTTCTAATTTTAGCTGTAAATTCTTCAAAAAAAATTCAAAAAACACTTTTAAAGAGATTTATCAAATACTAAAATTATTTTTTATTACAAGTAGAAGTTGATTTTAAAAACGAAAAACAATAGCAAACTAAGCCTAAACTTACCTAATATAATAGCGTCAAAACGCTGACGTTCTCAGGGACGACGCGTGTTATGCATTTTGACCTTAACTTGTCAAATTGTGGGCAAAAGACGTGAGTAGTGGAACAATCAGTGCACTGACGCGTGTCTTGACACGATTGTTGATGGGTTATCAGAGATCAGCCCGTCATTGCGGAAGATGAGCTTTCCTTTTGACATTTGAGCTCGTAGTTTCTTATGATGACAACTTGTATTGCCCTAACTAACTAACTAACTAACTAGATCCACACTCGATGTCGCGCCTTTCACGAATTCACCAAAACCTTCAATCCTCACTCGATGTCTACAAAACTAGTAAATAAATTAAATACCAACGGCAACTAAATAATTATAATTTGTTTCTTTTATTGTCCACCTTAATTTTAGGGCACTTTACACTCACAAAAGTCAAGCATTCAAATCTCCCATTAGAAGTGCATGCATATTTTATAATAACTATTAAACTCACCTACGGAAAAGCTTTATTACCAAAGAAAGAATAATAAAAAAAATAAAAAAAAAAGTATAACCTAATTTTATCCGTTTGCTGGTTAATTTAAAAGGATTCAAAATCCTTGTCTCACCAAGGGATTCACTAACTGCCAAAGACCACCGACTGATAATCTGATGAATACAAATATAAAAAATTTAATAAATGAAGTTGAAGAAAAAGTCTAGGAACTCACCAATGTTAGTACTCCATTTTTCTACAACTTTCTCCAAAATCTTAAATAATAATAAAAAATAAAAAATAAAAACAGTTTGACACTAAGCGAGATAGAAGGAAGGATGATGATGTTGATCTAATTACTAATTTTGTCAAAGTGTGATTAGTTTTTGTGGCCGTATACAAGAAATTCCATTTATTGATACTTTCACAAAATAATAATAAAAATAATAATAATCGAATTATATCGATCACATTTAAAAGTAGCAACAAAATAACACACACTAAAAATGTTTCATATATTAAAGCAAAAAACGGAACAAACTCAATGGAAATGACAAGAAATTTTTAAAAAAAAATAAATAAATGCTTTCTTTTCTGAAAATATGGCATCCCTAAATACATAATGTCTAGGCAATGTCACCAAGACACCAACCTTAAAATACTTTTTTCCTTTTTCTTTAATCCCCAGACTGGAAAATTTTCGGATCAATGGGCCCAAAAGTTACTTGTGAGCTTTCATTTTCTACAAACTTGTCACTGTCTAATAATAAAAGTTCATTTCTTAAAATAAACAAATAAATAAATAAATAAAAATTCAATACGCAAACAAATGACCATAACACAACATAGCATTCTTTTTTTTTTCTTCCTTTTATTATTATTATTATTATTATTTTAAATTTGCATGGAATCATCCACGTGCCCTCGCTCCTGCCATCGTTCATTACAAAGAACGCCTGAGAAAATTTTCCTTACGAAATAAGAAAGGCCAAAAGAAGGGGGAAAAAAAAAACAATAAATAAATTAAATAATCTCTATGCTGTCCATTTTTCTGAATTGGCGCAAAGGCGAAAACTTTTCTACTCTGTCTCAACTTCTTTCTTTCTTTCTTTCTTTTTTCCCCCGAGAAAAACAAACAAAAACAAGATGAGAAAATCTAGCGAGATTCCTACGGAGAAGAAGAAGAAGAAGATTATAGCGAGGACGAAGTAGGAGGAGATTCTTCGGAGCTCTGAATCTCTTTCTTCCGCGATCATTTCGATTCTTTTTCGGACTTCTCTTGTTCGTTGCACCGCCTCTTTCTTTCGTCTTTGTCGATATCTGGTATGCTCTGTTTTCCCCCTTTTTTCCCTGTATTTTTGGGTCATTTTCTTTTGAGAATCTTGGACTATTTGTGTTAACTTTGTGTCGGATTGAGATGGGTCGTTGAGGTTTTGTGCGATTAATTCCGAACCTGAATGTGGAAAATTGATGCTTAAAATGTCGAAATCGTCGAAAAACCAAAACCCTAGGTTTTGTATTTAGTGTTTGGTCTATTGGTGTCCTTGGTTTTGATTTATGGACTCTAGGTTTGGAATGGTTGGTTGCAGATATGGCGTTTGATCAAAACTCGATTCCGAAGGATCTAAGACCGTTAAATATAGTTAGAAATGTGGTCGAAGAGCCCCGCATTGTGCAGGCCGCGGCCGGTCGGAGCCCTGAGGGGTACTTTCCTAACCCGGTTAGCGAGGTTGGGAGCCCCAGGTCGGTGCCCGTTTTCTACCCGGCGCCTGTGCCCGTATCTGAAGCCGGAATTGTTGGGCTAGGATACGGGAATACTGCGCCAAATGTTGCTGCATGGTGTCCTCATGTGGCCGTGCCGGTGGCATACCCGAGTGTGAACCCTGCTGTTGGATTTGGTTATGGTCCTAATTTGGCCAACAGGGTCACTGTTGCTGGTTCCGGAGACCTTGTAAGTAGCAATGCATCGACTGCGTCACGAGGCAGCCCAAATTTGGGCAATCTGGTTAGTGTGACTGGCGTTGATCTTTCTAGTCATGATATGGCAGCTAGGATTGGCTATACACCAAGTGTGGGCAGTAGGGTTGCGGGCAATTCCACCGATCAGATTGTGAGTGATCCAGCAGCTGGGTCCAGTTATGGTCCTAATTTGGGCGGTCGATCTGGTGGTAATGCGGTTGATCAAGCAAGTGATGAGGGTGGAGTTGATTCAGTTTCAGGGAAGAAAGTAAAGTTTCTGTGTAGTTTTGGGGGCAAGATTTTGCCTAGGCCGAGCGATAGCTTGTTGAGATATGTTGGGGGACATACGAGGTTCATTAGTGTCAAAAGAGATTTGAGCTTCAATGAGCTAGTGCAGAAGATGGTGGATATCTATGGGCAAGCCGTGGTTATCAAATATCAGCTTCCTGACGAGGATCTTGATGCTTTGGTGTCAGTTTCGTGCCCTGATGATCTTGACAATATGATGGATGAGTATGAGAAATTGAATGAGAGGTGTCCAGATGGGTCGGCTAAGTTGAGAGTGTTTCTGTTTTCTGCTTCAGAGCTTGATCCGACTAGTATGGTACAGTTTGGGGAATCACATGATAATGGGCAGAGATATGTTGAGGCCGTAAATGGGATTGTGGGTGGAGGCGGCGGTGGCGGCATCACAAGGAAAGGGAGCATAACAAGTGCAACATCAACACAAAATTCTGATTTTAGTGGGAGTGAGGCTGTTGATAACTCAATGGCCAGTCAAGCGGATGTTATAGGACCTGTGACAACAAATATATTATTGCAGAAGCAGAGTTCTGGTAATTTGGATGACGTTTCTCCAAGGTTGGTGTGTTTGGATCCCAGTCCTGCAAGTTTTGTCGAAGCGTCTACAGTCCCACCGCGTGTTCCTATGGTTAAGTCTGGTCTTCCACAAACTTCATCTCCTTGTCCGGAAGTTGACTTAGAAAGGTCTATTCCTGCAGCAATAGCGCACCAACAATTGGGTTTGCAGCAGCCCGGAATGGAAATTCCAACTCCTTCCTATGTGCAAGCATATGTTGATCCTCGCCAGGAAGTTGCAAATGAAGCAGATTATTTGCAGCTTCCTCCCCAGACGGGCTTTCCAAATCCTCGGCTATTGGGGACTGCCGGCCCCGTGTATACCCAACAACAGCTTTATGGTAATGCTGCTGGTGTAGTCACACGTCAATTTATCCCTACAATGTGCACAACAATGAATCCTTCATCTTCTCATGTTGGTATAAGACAAAACGTAGTTCAACATATTATTCAACCCCAACAAGCTAGATTGGGTACTTATGTGGATGAAAGAGCATTTGGTCCGAGGGTCGTTCAGCTGCCCGTTGAACAAAGCTATAGTTCATATCAAGTTCAGGTTCCTGCTTCAGTGGTAGGAGGCAATAATGGCTGGCAGCAGGTTCCAATGCAGGAACATGTCGTTTTCTCTGATGGTTTGCTACCTCACCAACAGGTAATGGTTTCTGAGAAAATCCCAAGGTTTGAGGACTGTTATATGTGTCAGAGAGCATTGCCTCATGCACATTCTGATACTGTGACACAGGGTCAGAGAGACAGTGGTGCAAGCTCTCTGTCTGATTCCAACCCAAGTTATCATAGTCTCCATTTCGATGACCATTCAAGAGCTCAGCCAGCAACCAGAGTTGTGGTAAGTGGTGCTTTGGGGGAAAGCACTATTGATCAAGGAGTTGCAGCTCGACACCGAGTCCTTGTTCATGCAGATCCTCAAATTGGAAGCCTTCAATCTGAGGCAAGTGCTTTCAGTTTGCATCCCGAGGCGAAGCTTGAAAAGGAGAGAATTAATACCCAACACGTAGATAATGTTGAGCATAATAGAATTTCTGCTACTCAGGCTGTAATTGGAAGGACTACTGATGTACAGCCACCTAAGAGTGCATTCATGGGCAATATTCCACAGTCTGTTCGAGAGGATCCTGTTCAGCAACACTCTGTTGTAGCCCCATACCTGGTTAAACAGGATGCCTTGAACAAACCTGTTACCCGGGATATGCTACCTGCAGGAGGCATTCCTGTCCAAAGTTCAGAACGGTTGACTCAAGATTCTCCAAAATCTCCGACAGATTATTCTAACAAATTTCCCAGTGTCGCTCCAACCAAAGATGCTGTAGAAACTTGCATTTCATATGACCAAGTGAGACCAATTGAAGGCAGGATGGAGGCACTCAGGATATGCCCCACTGAACTTTCTGTCAGTAATGAGCAGAGTAGATCACCTGTTGACCAATTTGAGGCTAGTTATGGTATACCAACTGAACTGCTGCCCTGCTCCTCTATGGAACCTCCACATATTCCTACTTCAAGGCTAGTTGAGTCATATGAGGTGGCACAACCATCTATCTGGGGTAATCCTGGACCTTGTCTACAAGCAAAAGTTGGAGGCCTCCCGTTGGATTCTAATGAAGTTTACCATGGCAATCCTCCATTTCCTGGGATGGACACTCCATCTTCTTTCTCTCCGTCTAGTAGGACTGCAGATGTTCAGGATTCTTCAAATTCACTTTTCAGCAATCAGGATCCTTGGAATTTGCACCATGATTCTCATTTTCCACCTCCTAGACCTATTAAAAGTCCATCGAAAAAGGATCCCTTTGCCACTAAGGATCCCTTTGGTGAGAACTGTTTGGGAAATGGTGCAGAACTAAACACTGTGGAGGATGGGGTTCAACAATCATTGGGCATCTTGAACAAAGACCAAAGTTCAGAACATGCTCAGTCGGCAAAAGGTCGGTGATATGCTTTCTTTCTTTTGTTTTTTTTTTAAATGAATATTTATTCGTTTGTAGTTTGCAGTGGTATTCATGGTTTCTCAATCTTCTCTGTTAAAGGATTAGGCTCAGCAGAGGAACAAATCAGGAATGATCTTCAAGCTGTTGCTGAGGGTGTCGCTGCTTCGGTTTTCCAGTCAGCTACATCATCAAATCCCGACTTGCATGACAGAAATGAGTTGGCTAATGAGTCGATTCAAGATGAAGTTGTTGAAAACAAAGTTGAGGTGATACACGTACACATTCAGCTTGTAACTTGCGCACAATTATATTTATTCAATTTCCTCATTTTTTTTTTTATATTTTCTTTTCAGGATGTTAAGACCAAAATCCCAGAAAGAGCAAATATTGGTTTTCCAGTATCTGATGGCATTGGACGCTTGCAGGTTAACATTTTCACTTATCTCTCAATATTCTACTCTTCATTTGAAGTTTTCCCATTAATCTAAAGGCATATTCCATGGCAGATTATAAAGAACAGTGACCTCGAAGAGCTGAGAGAATTGGGTTCTGGCACCTTTGGCACAGTCTATCATGGGAAATGGAGGGGTACTGATGTCGCAATCAAACGGATCAATGATCGTTGTTTCGCTGGAAAACCTTCTGAACAAGAGCGCATGGTATGTGTCTTCCAATTGAAACACATATATTCTTTACAATTGTTTTCTCCAATAGCTTTCTCATTATGATCCTAAATGAATCAGAGAGATGATTTTTGGAATGAGGCCATCAAACTGGCTGACTTGCACCATCCGAATGTCTTGGCTTTCTATGGTGTTGTACTTGATGGTCCTGGAGGTTCTGTGGCAACAGTGACAGAGTATATGGTTAATGGTTCTATTAGAAATGCTTTGCAGAAGAATGAGAAGTAACGTGTCCTCCTTAATTGTCCTTTATTTTATTCAATTTTAATTATGGACTTTCCAGTGTTTGCAAAGTGATGGCCCATTGACAGAGAAATATCTGTACCAGGAGTCTTGACAAGCGCAGGCGTCTATTGATTGCCATGGATGTAGCATTTGGAATGGAATACCTGCATGGAAAGAATATTGTGCACTTTGATTTAAAAAGTGATAACCTACTTGTAAATCTTCGAGATCCTCACCGTCCAATTTGCAAGGTTAGTGACTTTGTAATTCTGGTGCATGTTGTGGAGCAACTTATTCCCTCTTATGAAGCCTTTTTTAGTCTGTCCATTGAGTTTTTTGCTGTCACATATTCAAGCAATTTCTTAGTCACTCAGGAGACTTTTGTTTTGAAACCAAGAATCAGATTTAAAGAAACTTCTTTTAACCAAGCTCCTGAGGAACCACCAATATTCGATTTGCTATTATTAGTCTAGTATCTTGATTTCGTAATTCTTGCATAATATAAGCTGATAAATTTTGAAGCGAAACTGACTTGGAATTTGATAGTGGCAAAATGAGTTATAGAGTTTTGATTACTTATTCTTGGGAAGTGTAAATTATTTTAAAATTTATTTCTGCCGTAGGCTATACTTGCTCAATGCAACTTTGTGATATTCTACAACTGGTTTCTATAACTGGTCATTTACTTCATTTCCATTCCTTACGAGATAAACTTTACACATGCTTCTACAATCAGGTTGGTGATTTGGGCCTATCCAAGGTGAAATGTCAGACACTGATCTCTGGCGGTGTGCGGGGAACACTTCCTTGGATGGCACCAGAACTTCTTAATGGCAGCAGTAGCCTTGTATCCGAGAAGGTTAACCTCAGAGCTTGCTAATGAATTAAAGAGATATATTCTCCTTTCTTTCTCTCTATCTCACTTATTCCCGCACTATGCGAACCTCAAATCTGTATTATGCTGTTTTTCTGCTCTAGGTTGATGTGTTTTCTTTTGGTATCGTTTTGTGGGAGCTCCTTACCGGGGAAGAACCATATGCAGATTTGCATTATGGGGCCATCATAGGTAATCATCACCTTTATCTTTCTTTCTTTCTTTTTTTAATTTATTGTTTTTGTAGTTTAGTACTAGTATTATTATTATTATTATTATTATTATTATTATTTTAGTTATTTTTTATAGTTTAGTGCTGGTATTGTTCTCTTTATCCAGTTCGCTAATGGTAGACTTGAAATTAGAGTGTTAATCAGTGGTCGACACATAATGCAGGTGGTATTTTGAGCAACACCTTGAGGCCACCAGTCCCAGAATTTTGCAATCCCGAATGGAAATCACTCATGGAGAGATGCTGGGCGTCAGAGCCATCCGAGAGACCGAGCTTTACCGAAATCGCAAACCAATTACGTGCTATGGCAGCAAAGATTCCCAAAGGACATAGCCAACATCAACAACCTTCCACAACACAACCTCCTGTTTAAAATTGAACACCAAAAAAGGTTACTTCCTCTTATTTCGCTTTTCAATTTGTTTCGCGCTGGTGGCAAATAACAGATGTGCTTCTTTTTTTTTTTTTCCCCTTAAAAATACAGGGAAAGGTTGTTTCACTGTTTCCCCATAGAAATTTTAGTTCATAAGAAGTGCCTTAAGCTTTTTTTTTTTTTCTTTTTTTTTTCACACCTCTGGGAAATGTGTTAGCTGTATATTTTTACCTATTACTGTAAGAATGTGGATTATATTATTGCCATTTTTGTGTGGCGCTCCTCAATTCGTTCAACATTCATCGTGCGATATATAAATTTTGTTTCAAAATGAGTTTGTGTTATTCATCGTGCATAGTTATAACATATTCTGCGTAGTTTGTAGTTGGTGAACAATTGCAATTTTTTGGTTTTGTATATAACGAATATAAAGGAAAGGCCTCAAAAAAAATATATTTTTTTTACTTTCATCCTTTCCTTTCGGTGGCACGTGCGAACATGACTTGCGAAGCAAAGCAAGGAACTATTATGAACCATTTCACTGATCAATATGATGTGGACGCGTCCAATTAATTAATGGGGTCGGATCAGATAAGAGTAGAAAGTGGGTTTGCATCTGTTTATCTAGTGTTCTCAAGATCCAAGAAGATCAATGCGATTACTATCAAGTTTATGCCAAGAGACCAAGTACACCGAATTAAGTTTTGTAATAACTGATTAAGTTCTCTCTCTCTCCATCATTTCGGCTAGGGTCGTGCCAGCCCAGCCCAAACTCCCTGTCGAGCTGCCCGTTGTTCTAGATTCGAGTCTTTTAAGACAGCCCGGCTTGATTAGCCTCTTTAAAGCAATCGTAGAAAATAAGCCTACATTTAAAACTCATGTTAGTAAATAACTAATTTACCAATGTATAAAAATTAATAGGCCTTTTTATGTTTAGAATTTTTCAGTTTTTATATTTACTCTTTTTTTCCCTCTTTCCCTCTAGATCTCCTTTTCCCTCTTCTCTTTATCTGTCATGTGGGTATGCTTCCGATCGCCATCTTCGGAGATCATGAATTACCAATTTGAAGGTGTAAACAATATAAGTATGGTTATTATTATTGCTAAATATGCTATTAAATTATATAAACATATTTTAGTTCTGCTCATAAATCTAGGATTTATCATATGGTAAATCTTTTATTATCAGAACAGAGAATGTGTTATTCGTAAATCCTAAATTTACAGTGCCAATTTAGGATTTACAATTAGAGTACAATTTATCTTCCTTCATAAATCTTAGATTTACACGTTAAATTCAAAAATTTACTAATATAAGATAAAAATATTTTAATTCTGCTTGTAAATCTAAAACTTACCGTACACGAAATTGATGATTTATAATCAGAACACAATTTCTATTCCTTTGTAAATCCTAAGTTTATACGGTAAATCTAGGATTTACCATCTGTAGGGGTCCGATAGATCCGGAGGGTATGCCGTAGTGGGGGGTGTGCACGTGTAAGTATTTGACTCGTTGGTGGTGGTTCCAATGTGGCCAAAGTACTTAACGGGCCTTTGAAGTAGATAACGATGGTTGGATCTCCGACGGTGGTGCGGCTCGCTTAGGCCCAAATTAGGCAGAAGGACATGTGCTCTAGGGCCCTTTTTGTTGCCAAAATCACAAAAATACTCTTGTAAAAATGTTAGAAAATCTGAAAAATAATAACGAAGAACTTTGCGAATAAAGATTGGAGGGAGGAGTGGAGGGGGTAACTCTAGAAGTGGATAAGGCTTTTTGATGGAGAATGGCTCCAAAAGCAGTTTTTGGGCTGTTTTGGAGGCTTTCAGTATGTAGCTTCGCTGGTGGATAAAGCTCTAATGGAGAAACGTGATATGGAGGAGTCTAATGAAAGAGCTACGAGGGGCAATGTAGAGGTTGGAGGCTTGAATATTTCCGGGAAAGTGTAGCAGAAACTCTTCAATCACTTAGATGGTGGTGGAAAAGGATTTGAAAAGTGTTCTTGAGGAGTTTCTAAGGAGGTCAACACTTAGAAACTATGAAGTTCCTTAAGAACTTGAAGAAGACCCTAAGTCCTTGTAGAAGAAGACTTGAAGAATGCACTCAAAGGAAGATGATTTCTTAAGAGTTTCGGCACTCTGATGGTGCTTTCTAATGTGCAGGTATGTTGGTCTCTTGTTGAAATGAAGGTAACGGGAGTATTTATAGGAGAAGATGGGAGTGTTTGACAGCTGCTCTGACAGAGGTCTGACCACTCATTTCCGTTTGGAGGAAGGCTATCAGAGGCCTTTCTTGGTTTGACAAATAGATGGTCCAGAAATGGAATGGAAGATTCTAGAGTGGAAGAAACGGCGGCGGCTATCAAAGCATTCCCATTCAATGGAAAAGTGTCAGATAGCTTTCTGATTTTAACAAAGAGACTCACCAAAAATAGGATGAAAAGTTTTTGAAAATTTTCTCCGGCAGTGGTCTGATGAAGTAAGGCACAAGCAATTTTGTTCGAAGTAAAGTCCCAGCTACCTTGTCGGAGGAGGCAAAATGACACATTAGAAGTGGAAATACTTGGAGGCCAAGTTCCAGATTTTGGGCTAATACGAAGTGACTTCAGACCTGAAATCCCCAAGAGTGTTTGACTCAACCAAGTGCTCCGAAGACTTTCCTCTTTGGGGGTCTGATCGCGTGTCAGACTTTCGTCGGAGGTTGTTTGTATGAGAATGACCAAGCAGCCAATGCACTTGCTATGACAACAGGTTGTTCTGACACCAGGTTGCTCTGAATGTGCACGAGTGCTCCGAGTGGACAACCTGATATAGAGAAGAGTTGGGAAAGCATGCCTGACACGGGGAGTGCTCTGAGAGGCATGTCTAATGTGAGAAAAGCCTCCGAATCAGCCAAAACTAATGGATTTCTCAGGCATTTGAGTTGGCGAAAATTTATGAAGGATCTATTGGTTTCCGAAACGATTTCGGATGCGGATGCGTGAGAATAGCGGATCGTGTGTAACAAAAACTTTTATAAAACTTTTGAGATACTCTATAGATTATATTAATTTATGCACGAATAAATTAATCACATTAATTTATTTATTTAAGAACTCAATTAGGAATTATACCTAGCAGCCGATTAGGGTGATATCTTGAGTTCTTTGACCTCGAACGTTCTTTGCTCGAAATGCTAGTTTAGAAAAATCAAAGTCTTTCTCGTCAATTCCTAGAATCCACGAAAATGTGTGCGAAGGCACACCTGAGACAAAATAGGATTAACAATAAAAAACACTCAAATTTTTCACGAATACCAACGCATGCACGATGTGAAATTTTTGGAGAAAATTTTTCCTTCTCACTCTAAAAAAATTCGGCTGTTATTAATTTTAAGATAGAAAAATTGTGTCCCATAATTTTCTACAATCTATTATTTATAGAGTAGTAGTCAAAGTCCTAAAAGGAATCCAATCTTTATCTCCAAGATAAAACTTATTAATTATCTCCCATTTGAATTTAGAACAAAACTCCCACTCCTTATCCTCTTGATATGGCCGGCCACCATGAGGGATTTTATCCCTGTGGTAGGCGCCAATTACAGATAGGGAAGGAGGAAAAATCCTCCTTTATCCTGCAGTCTAAAATTGACTCAAATTCAAATTTCAATTTAAGCCAAACTTAAATCAAATGAATTTCAAATTAAACAACTTATCAAATAAGTTAATTCAATAACTATGAGAGCAAGCAATTTGAATCCTAAAGGGATTCACACTGTGCTATGTGCACACTATGTGAACATATTCACATAAGTGATCCAAAATTTAAATTCAAATTTAAACAATCACGTTATTTAATTTATAATTAATTATCTTTGAGTGTTTTATTTTAGAATTTCATAATTCTAAAATTCTCATTTTTCCCTTTGTGTCTTATGAAATTACAAGGATGATGCGGGGACTTACAGACCTATAATTTCGAGCTTTAATAAAATTAATAACTAATCAAACACTTTAATTAATTAATTATTCTATGAATTCCAATAGTTACTCCACTATAGACATAAATTACTTCTAAACTGTTAAGTCTCTATTTGATATAGTCATTGCATATAGATCAATCCTCGATAAATAATTCATAATTAGAGCTAGGTGAAATTCGTTAACCTCTCTAATTACAACTTTATCCTTGAGTACCATTGATTCTCGAATAGACAGTAATTCATAAAACACATTCATGAATCAGAGCGCTTTAACTAATCAAAGTACCGAATCAACACTGCTAGGGAATTATTTATCTACTTCTTTCTCAAGAAGGAATGGATTTCATCTTGTATAATAACATTACCGGCTACCTACTTCATCATGTCTTCAAAATACAAGGAATAGAATTCAGGGTCTCAAAATCCGTACCGAGCAAATCAAAAGACACAAATTCAAAAATAGGATTCTGCTAAGAACTCATATTAAAATCATTCTATATATGACCATCGGTAGACTCAATTAGAATTTCTATACTTAATAGAAATTATCATAAATTAATATTGTGTCTGTATCCCTATTACACATAATCTCATTACGTGTAATACACTCATTAAATATCTCACCATATTAACAGTGCAGATAACACTATTCCATTCTGAATGGGAATGACATGTATTAGTGATGTTTTAATTAAAGATTTCAAACTTTAATTAAATTCATTACGAACATCATTTTTTATTATTATCTTTAAACATTATCCTCTCGCATATAACACTTATATACAGTGTTTAAAGTCACATAAATAATCATGGAATTTTCATTGATATTCATAAAATATTCATAAATATATGCACATAAAATGATGAATAAACTGTTTTATTAAATAATTAATAAATATCATGTTACATCTCATGCTTCTAGGACACCATTCCCAACAGGATCAGGCCCAAGTTTTGGGCCTTTCAAGGGTTAAAATAAAGGATTTTGGGCTTCTGAAGACAAGGGAAAGGCTTTCTTAGGTTGAATCCTCCATTACCTATTCAAGTTTAATTTGACTAATTTTGAAAAGTCCCCCAAACGGGTTTCAAATTGGGTTAAATTAAGGAGAAATGGGCCTATGTGATCACTCATGGCCCACCAAACTACAACCCCAAGGGAGTTCCTCGTGTGACGACCCTTACTTTTGGTCATCATTACTACGCTCATACTTAGCTCATTTCCTTACTTCTACTACTTTTGAACTATAAACTCCTAAATTTTAGACTTTTTTTTCCTGCGCGGACATAAATTTAAATTATTATTTACTTACCATTGTCATTCATATGCAGTTTGCATAATAG